TAGCAATGGTGGCTTCTCAGAGAATCTGGTTCTGTAAGTTAACTTTACATTATTCATTTGGATTAGTAATACTTGAACCCCAAATTCAAATTTTTTGACTATGTTTAAAAAGCACAAAATTTGGGTATTGGCTGGGATTTGAACAGTAAGTTTTTATATAGTCTGGTAATGATTGGTTTCAAAGGCTACCTGGGTTTTGAGGACTTTCCTTTATGTTTGCTAGTATGTTTTACTCATCCAAGAGGTTTAAGGGATTGGAAAGGAGAGAGGAGTTCAGACCTTAAAAAAAATCACAAATGTAGGATCATAGGTACAGATAGAATTTGACTGAGGAAGCCCCCTTTTTTTGGTTTTAATTTCCCCCAATTAAGGCTGGGTATGGTGGCTTATGACTGTCACCAGTAGAAATTTTACAATATTTATATATCACATTAAAGTTGCTGTAGGTATATAATTTATACTCATCACTAACTTGGGTTTTGTTTTTTTTTGAGACAGGGTCTCACTCTCCCAGGCTGGAGTGCACTGGTGTGATCATAGCTCACTGTGGCTTCCAACTCCTGGGCTTAGCTGATCCTCCTGACTCAGCCTCCCAAGTAGCTGGGACTACAGGTACACGTCACCATGTCTGGAAAATTTTTTGATTTTTTGTAGAGACAGGGTCTTGCTATGTTGCCCAGACTAGTCTTGAACTCCTCTCCTCAAATGATTCTCTTGCAGCCTCCTAAAGTGCTGGGATTACAAGCATGAGCCATCATGCCAGGCCCTCATCACTACTTTGAAATTACATAATTAGAGCTGCTGCTAGATGTTATTTAATGCATAAAGTACATATGTAACTATATTGCATATTTATTTTAATATTTTAAAAACTTTTGGCCAGGTACAGTGGCTCACACCTGCAATCCTAACACTCTGGGAGGCCAAGGCGGGAGGATCACTCAAGGTCAGGAGTTTGAGACCAGCCTGAGCAAGAGTGAGACCTTGTCTCTACTAAAAAATAGAAGGAAATTAGCTGCATGGCTAAAAATATATAGAAGAAAATTAGCCAGGCATGGTAGCAGCATGCCTGTAGTCCTAGCTACTTGGGAGGCTGAGGCAGGACTGCTTAAGCCCAGGAGTTTGAGGTTGTTGTGAGCTAGGCTGACGCCATGGCACTCTATCCCAGGCAATAGAAGGAGACTCTGTCTCAAAAAAGAAAAAGAAAAAAAAACTTTCAAAAATATTGGTTTCCTTTATGTTATTATATATTTTGTTTTATTATATTTTATTTTATTCTGAAACAGAGTCTCACTCTGTTGCTCTGCATAGAGTGCAGTGGCAGTCATATGTCATTGTAGCTCACTGCAACCTCAAATTCCTGGTCTCAAGTGATCCTTTTGCGTCAGCCTCTCAAGTAGCTGGAACTACAGGCACACAATACAATGCCTGGCTAATTTTTCTATTTTAGTAGAGATGGAGTCTTGTTCTTGCTTAGGCTGGTCTTGAATTCCTGAGCTCAAGCAATCCTCCCTCCTTGGCCTTCCAGAGTGCTAGGTTTATAGGCACAAACCACCGTGCCCAGCCATGTATTTTATTTTATACATCTAAAAACATTTTTATGAAATCAGGTTCATAAACCAGACTGCCAAGAGGTCCATGGTATAAAAGAAGTTAAGAATCTTTGTTATTTATTCTTATTAATTGCTTATTGTATATAACCTAAACTTTTTTTTTTTTTTTTTTTTTGAGAAAGAGTCTCACTTTGTTTTGAGTGCTGTGGCGTCAGCCTAGCTCACAGCAACCTCAAACTCCTGGGTTCAAGCAATCCTACTGCCTCAGCCTCCCAAGTAGCTGGGACTACAGGCATGTAACCACCATGCCCAGCTAATTTTTTCTATATATATTAGTTGGCCAATTAATTTCTTTCTATTTATAGTAGAGACGGAGTCTCGCTCTTGCTTAGGCAGGTTTCGAAGTCCTGACCTCGAGCAGTCTACCCGCCTCGGCCTCCCAGAGTGCTAGGATTACAGGCGTGAGCCACCTCACCCAGCCAACCTAAACTCTTTAGCATGGAATTCAAGGTTCCTCATAATCTGTTCACACCCACTTTATCATCTTCATCTCTGTCCCACCCCTACTCTCCACGTTGTCGCCATACCAGACAACAGTAACTCTCTTATCTGAGGCAGATAGACAGGTTTTTGGATTAACCCTAGTTATCAGCAGCCATGCACTATCTTGGGCTTTACCTTATACATCTCTTTTCTGCCTGCCAAATGAATTCTTTGTTTAAAGGTTTATTTTCCCTAACTTTTTGATCCTAATAGGGCCGTATTTTAAACATCTTTACATCTTGTCCTAACTTAAGTGACTGATGAAACGAATAACAGAAAACAGATTCTAAGTTGGCAAGACAGTGTGTAGTCATCTCTAGGGGAGTGGGCGTTGGTCTTTGAATCTCATCTGGCTTAGTTTTGATCATTTTGAGGATAGAAATTGGGATGGCCCTTGCTGATAAACTCTGGATGAAAGGGAAAGGGATAGGAAAGAGAACAGTAACCAAGGTGGATCTGACTAAGGTTGAGGGATAGAATATGAATATTCCTAAATGGAAAGGCAGGACTGGCTCCTCCCATTTCCCAGAGCAGTTATTCAAAACTTATCACTCTGCTCAAGCTTCTCAAGCCATCCCCAATATTTTATCTCTGTCAACAAATGACCCCCCCAACCCCCCCTCTGGGAGGCAGAGGCGGGCGGATTGCTCGAGGTCAGGAGTTCAAAACCAGCCTGAGCAAGAGTGAGATCCCGTCTCTACTATAAATAGAAAGAAATTAATTGGCCAACTAATATATGTAGAAAAAATTAGCTGGGCATGGTGGCGCATCCCTGTAGTCCCAGCTACTCGGGAAGCTGAGGCAGCAGGATTGCTTGAGCCCAGAAGTTTGAGGTTGCTGTGAGCTAGGCTGACACCACAGCACTCACTCTAGCCTGAGCAACAAAGCGAGACTCTGTCTCAAAAAACAAAACAAAACAAAACAAAAAACAAATGATCCCCATCTTAATATTACAGTTAATATTACGGAGCCAACTCCCTCAACTTACTGCCCTTCCTTACTTCCTTTTTTTTTTTTTTTTTGAGACAGAGTCTTGCTTTGTTGCCTAGGCTAGAGTGAGTGCCCTGTGTCAGCCTAGCTCATAGCAACTTCAAACTCCTGGGCTCCAGCGATCCTACTGCCTCAGCCTCCCGAGTAGCTGGGACTACAGGCATGTGCCACCATGCCTGGCTAATTTTTTCTATAGATAATTAGTTTGCCAATTAATTTCTTTGTATTTATAGTAGAGAAGGTCTACACTCTTGCTCAGGCTGGTTTTGAACTCCTGACCTCGAGCAATCCACCTGCCTTGGCCTCCCAGAGTGCTAGGATTACAGGCGTGAGCCACGGAGCCTGGCTCCTACTTCCTATCTTTTCCGTCTCTATAGTTTAGTAGTACTCAGTCCTCAGCTTTAGAGTCACCTGGGGAGCTTTAAAACAATACTGATGCCAGGCACTATCCAGAATTTAATTAAGTCTAGGGTGGGGCAATAGCACTTGTGGTTGTTTTTTTTTTTTTGAGACAGAGTCTCACTCTTGCCCAGGCTAGAGTGCCAGGGTGTTGACCTAGCTCACAGCAACCCAAACTCCTAGGCTTAAGCAATCCTTCTGCCTCAGCCTCCCAAGTAGCTGCAACTATAGGCATGCACCAGCAGGCCTGGCTAATTTTTTCTATATATATTTTTAGTTGTCCAGATAATTTTCTATTTTTAGTAGAGATGGGGTCTCGCTCTTACTCAAGTTGGTGTTGAACTCCTAACCCTGAGCCATCATCCCTCCTCAGCCTCCCAGAGTGCTAGGATTACAGGCGTGAGCCACCGTGCAGGGTCACAACACTCGGTTTGTTTAAAAGGAAAAAAAACAACTGTCCTAAGTGATTTTAAAGTACATACGAGGTTTAGTTCCACTAGTGCTCTAGATCTTATAGATTAGCCTCTCTCACCGAAGAACATTACACTTCTGTCCCATGGTCCACTTTTTTTTTGATGAGACACTCTCACTGCAACCTCTAACTTCCAGGCTCAAGCAAGATCCTCCTAGCTCAGCCTCTGAGTAGGACTACAGGCACACAGCACCACGCCCACACCCAGGCTGATCTTGAACTCCTGGGCTCAAGAGATCCAGCTACCTTGGCTCCCAAAGTGCTGGGATTACTGGCGTGAGCTACCAAGCACGCTCCATGGTACACTTTTATGCCTATGAGTCTTCCACATTTAAACAAAACTTTCTTACGGCCCACATTCTTGTTCCTCATTTCTCTCACCTTTTATAGCGATTCTTCTTTACAGGGAAATCTACACCAGCATGGTTTCCACCAGGTTTATTCTACTTCTCTTACTTTTCGCTATTCCAGATCAATACTGTCATATGCTTTGCACCCATCATTCTCTCTGGTTCTACCTTCTCTCCCATTTCTTTGACCAGGTACTGTTCACTAGTCTTCTAAAGAAGTCCTGTAAGAGCGACCCAAAGGTCACCTTGGAAAAGGTTTCCTCTCGTCCTCCTACACAATCAGGAGCTCCTCCTGGCGCAGGGCGCATCCTGTGCTTTCCCCCCCTCTATTATTAATTTTACTGTGCTACCACTGCGGATTCTCTCATAGTCTCCTATATAACAGCATTTCAAAAAGCTGAGACTATTTCATTCGCCTCTGACATTCTGGAATCTCAGGCATGGAAACCACTCAGTGAAAAGTCTGAGGAATGAATGGAAACGAAGACTGAGAAACGGAGGTCGGGGGCGGTGACAAGGGGGGAGGGAAAGGGGCGTGTGCGTGTGGAAAGGGGCGGGGGCTGTGAGGGGCGGCGCTGATAATCCAGCGCCAGAGTGGGGAGGGGGCACGGATACGCCAGTCTTTGTGGGCGGGAAAGCAATCCAGTGCTGGGACAAACTGAGACAAACCAAAGTGGGGAGGCGGCTTCTTACCTGCCTCAGGCCTCACCACCACAACCAGCCTTCAGGCACCTCTGTATTGGCCGGAAAGCGAGAGCTACGGTCGCAAACTCTGAGTTTTCTTCCCCAACCTTGCGACATTGCTCTCTAGTAGAGGGAAAATCTAAGTGTTAGTGCCCAGCTCTGCCGTAAGGTGAGGAAGAAAAGTTTGGGCGGGGCCTACTCAAGCGTAGGAAATGGGGCGTGTCCGCGCAAGCGCATACTGTACTCTCAGGCGGTGTCACGTGCGGGGGCGGGGCCGGGCGGGGCTGGCAGTAGGGGGCGTGGGAGGTAAGTGCGCGCGCGCCTGCTCGCCTGCAGCCGAGGAGTCGCGCGGGGCGGGGCCGCGTGCGCGGGGCCGGGGGCGCGCTGGCCGAAGCGGACTAGGGACGCGGCGGCGGTTGACTGTAGCTGTTGGGAGTACAGAACCGCCAGCAGTGTGAGAGGCTGCGGCCGCGGAGGCAATCGCTGCACCAACAGAGGCGGCCACAGCGGTTGAGGCGGCGGTCCGACGCGTGCTTTCTGGCGGGCGCGGCGGGGGATGTGCCTGCCCAGGCCGGGCGGAGTCTCTCTGACAGGGCGGGGGATGCGCAGCGGCCGCTTGCCCGGACCCTGAGGCGGCTGGGCCCATCCTGGAACCGTCCGACCCTCCGTGGCCTCGGCCTCTGCTGCCTCCTCGGGCCTGAGCCTGGGGCCGAGGGTGGGAGGCAGCTTCCGCTGTCGAGGAGGGGGCTGTGGTGGCCACCGCGGCGGAGCCCGAGGTAAGACCCGCCCAAGCCCCAGCGGCCCTGCAGCCAGTTCTGGCCCACGTCTCAGTCTCGCTCTTTGGCTCTCGTAGGGCCGCCCCGCCCCGCCCCGGCGGAGACGCCCCGCGAGCGAGTCTGCCCGAGCCTCCCAAACACCCGATCGCGGCCCGGGATCCCCAGCAGACCGCACCCCTCGGGTGTTCCATTGGCCAGGCACCACTCCGGTCCTCGAGCCTCCCCGGCGCTCCTGTCACGGTTCCGCCCTCGCTCCCGGCAGACCCCATTAGAGCCCCTCAGACTCTCTTAGGACTCTTAATGGAGCCTCCAGACTCCGTTACATCCTCCGAGCTGACCTTATCACGGTTCCCGAGGCAAAGTCTTGACCGCTCCCTAACCCATTGCATCCCCCAGCTACAAGACAGATCCGTCGCTGCCCCCGCCCTTCTTATAGACCCCCTTCCCAGCTGGCTCACCGCCAAGAATGCTAGCTCTTCCCCTACCCATCACGCCTTTCAGATGGCCTGGGTCACGATGCTCTTAGCTCCCAGTAGCTCTGGTGTCAGCCCCTCTAGACACCTTCAGACTTTGGCCTTTACCCCCACCCCTACTGTAGCCTCTCCCGCAGACCTCTCCTCAAGCAAACCTTGTTATCTGTCTCCCCAGTCGTGGTCCTTTCTTTGGTTGAAAGGGCTTTGCCATGAAGTCCTGAGGGGATGTTTGCTTAGCCTAGGGTATTCCCGCCAGTGTGGTTTAAGGGGACCGACTGAGACCCATGTTCGGAGGGTTTGGGCTAAAAAAAGGGAGGGAAAGGGAAGGATATGGGCGGATAGGGCAGGTTGTGTGTGTGCCATTATAAGGTCATACAGCCTACTCATCTTTTCTAGAACGTGTGAGGTAGTCCAGATCTGACATTTTAGGGGCCTCTGTAAGGATGAAATCACATTACATTAATGGTTATAACTGTATCTCCTTGTAATATCACTTCACCTCTTTATTCTACAGATATTGTGCATTGTTTTTTAAGGATACTAGAGACCTCTTTGGATTGGCTGTTATGGAATTTGCTGGAAAAATAAGATTTGTAGCTTTCCTTAATCCCTGAAGATTTCAGTGTCAGTAATAAATTTCTACTACCTCGTGCTGTGCTGTGCTGCTTCTCTGAGGAGCAAGTAGAAAATTCATGCTATGTTCACTGATGTCATTACCAACAGCTTTCTTAGTAGTAGTAAAATGTTAAATAAAATTTTTGTTGAACTCCTGAACTGTCAAGAAGGAAATGTAATGTTATGTCAATTGATTAGTGCATATTTTAAAGTTGAAATATGGATGAAATATAAAGAGGTCTTTGTAGTCAGTACTTTCCAAATTTTTATTTTGTGTGTGTAACTAAGGAGGGAAAAAATCATATTAAAATTATAGGTAATAACTAGACATAGTATGAAAGTCAAAAGGTTCAGAAGATTAATGCAGTGAAAAGTTTCTGTTCCTCTTTTATCCTCTAGCCACCCATTTTCCCTCTTTTTTTTAGAGGCTTCATGTGTACCCTTTCTGTGATATTTCCAGCATATAGAAACCTATACATTTCTGTTCTTAAGACACTATACACATGGTTGCATACTATACACTCTGTATATAGCTTGTTTTTTCCATTTAACAATACTAAATCCTAGAGATCATTCAATAACAATGCATATAGAAGTACCTCATTTACTGGCTGGATAGTGTTCCATTTTGGTGGAGTTGAGGTTATGTTCAGTCTTTTGCTTTTACAAGCGATGCTGTATGCTTTTCTTTTAAATGTATCAGCTGCTATATATGTATTTAAATAGTTTTCATTATTTGAAAAAAAATCCTGATGATTCTTTTGTGTTGAACCTACGAAAAGGATATAATTAAATTTCTCATTGAACCTCTGAGCTTCCATGGTGTGACTAGCTTTGATGATGATTATAATATTTATCAGATAAATTATTGAAGGTTTTTAAAACAGGGAACTGAAATGATCAGATACGTATTTTTAAAAAGTCACTCGAGGCTGGGTGCAGTAGCTCATGCTGTAATCCTCGCACTTTGGAAGGCAGTAGTGGGAGGAATGCTTGAGGTCAGGAATTTGAGACCAGCCTGAGCAAGAGTGACACCCCTGCCATCTCTAAAAAAAAAAAAAAGAAAGAAAAAGAAAAATTAGCCAGCTGCGTGGTGGTCCGTGTCTGTAGTCCCAGCTCCTTGGAAGGCCAAGGCAGGAGGATCACTGGGGCCTAGGAGTTTGAGGTTGGAGTGAGCTATGACGAAGCCATTGCACTCTAGTTCTGGCAAAAGAGTGAGGCCTTGTCTCAAGAAAAATGAAAGTCACTCTGGCTGCAGTGAGGAGGGTGGATTGAAGAGTAGAATAAGGCAAAAGGCAGGAATATCAGAGGGTTATCCAGGCAAATGATACTAGTACGTCTGAACTTGGGTATTGAGACTTGACAGGACTTCATGATTTGATTAGATTTGGGATTAGGGAGAGGGTGCGTGGAGGATAAAATCTAGGTTTCTTGCTCGTGCCTTTCACTGATGTGGGGATCCACATGAAGGAGGAGTGGGATTTTATTTTTATTTTGTCAAGGAGGAGGGATAGAGGAGTTCAATTTGTGACATGTTGAGTTTGGGTGCTTGTAATTCCATCAAATGTAGATGGCCAGTAGGCAGGTGGATTTGTAGCTGAAGCTCAGTATCAAGCTCTGGGTTGCTAGCAATAAATAGATCTTGGAGGCAAAATTGTATAGATGAGAAGTGAAAAGGTTTTAGGACAGTAATCCAACGTTTAAAGTACAGGTAGAGTTGAATATCAAAACTGGTAAATTATATAATTAAGTTCTTTAAAAAATCTTGTTATTATAGTTTAAGCATTAACAGTGAAATTCACTGACTAATATATTACTTTTTAAACAGTTTTTTCCCCATAGTTAACTTAGTGGTATATATAGTTCATGAGTGAAATGGGGTAAACTTAAATTTTTTGGAAAATTACAACCTCAGTATAATTTAGTAATATAAACCCCGTCTTTACGAATTATTTGGGTTATACTATGTAGAAGTTTGTTTAATTTTTAATATTTGCAAAGAAGTGCGGAAGTTTGAAAATATGGTTTGCTAAGTATATTAAGGGTTTTAGTTTGAATGATTTTTAGTTATTTTAACTTAGTTTGTCAAAGACTTTTCAGACATTTTAAAAACCACAACATTTTGCCGGGTGCGGTGGCTCACGCCTGTAATCCTAGCTCTCTGGGAGGCTGAGGCAGGCGGATCCTTTGAGCTCAGGAGTTCGAAACCAACCTGAGCAAGAGTGACCCCGTCTCTACTATAAATAGAAAGAAATTAATTGGCCAACTAATACATATACATATATAGAAAAAATTAGCTGGGCATGGTGGCACATGCCTGTAGTCCCAGCTACTCGGGAGGCTGAGGCAGCAGGATTGCTTGAGCCCAGGAGTTTGAGGTTGCTGTGAGCTAGGCTGACGCCATGGCACTCACTCTAGCCTGGGCAACAAAGTGAGACTCTGTCTCAAAAAAAAAAAAAAACAAAAAAAAAACACCCCACAACATTGACTCAATGTATTGATTCCTAAGTTTAGAGCTGCTGTCTAGAGCTCTTGCCTTTGCTCGCCCTGTAAATCACAGCTTAATGGACATCTTCACTTGAATTCACATTTCACAAGCACTTCAATCCAAATGTTTATAAAATAAAACCCTGTTCTGCCCCTCTTTCCTCCAAAACAGTTGGGGGAGACAGAAACTGCAACAAAATTTTTACTTCCTCTTGATTTCCTATCTTGATTGATGGCACCACTCTCTACTCATGAAGCATTTAGGAACCTGGGAATTATCCTCCTGCATGAAGCATTTAGGAACCTGGGAATCATCCTACTTCACTCCGTAGCTCACTGCCAGCATTCATTTTGTCACTGAGTCTTGCACATTCTCCTTCATATTTTATATCATCCCTTATTACGTCTTCTTGTCTCTATCTTATTTTAACCCAAAATGACTGTTGGGCTTCTGTAATTCTTCCTAAGTGATCTTCTTGCCTTCTATCTTATGCCTCATGTTTTGTCATACCCTCTAGTTCTCTACACTGCTGCCAGAGTAAGTGTTCTAAAATGCTCTTTTAGTTAGGCTGTTTTAATTGCAAGGGAGAGACTCAAGTTACCTTAAGTAATGAGTGCTTATTGAAAGGAAACATGCACGAGGGAACCCAGGAAAAGTTAAACAACTTGATCTCAATAAGAACAGGAACCTAATAAAGCTGGAAGCAGAATACAGACTTCACTCTAGTGCTTTATTGTTAACTTAGCTTCTCTTTCTTTCTGGCTTATTCTTTCTTTCTATTCCAGTTTTTCTCTATCTCATAGTTTCCATTTATTCCTGGTTTCTGCTCTTTACATCTACTATGTCACTCCTATGCCAACATCTTGCCTTCTGGCTGCTGTCTTTTTAACTTCGCCTCCTGTTGCTGACTTCTTCCTTCTCCCTAGGTTTTTTTGATTTGAATTCCCAAGAAACAATTTGTTTGGCTCAGCTCTTTTTCTCATTGGTTGCTAGCAAGCCTGTGTACTTGGATTGTGTGACCACTCCTGGCCATTTAGTGTTGGCTGTGTGTTTTTATGTACATATGGGTGTGGGGCAGGATCATAATGGTGAAAAGTGTGGGGCAGTGTGCTGGATAGTTTCCAACAAAATGGGGTTGTGAGCATGGCAGGCACCATGACATGTATAGTACAAATATAAATCTAATCTTGTCCTTTCCTAGTGAAAGATTTTCAGTGTTTTCTCATTGCCTTCAGGATAGAATTCAGACTGTAGCATGGCATGGATATGAGATCATTCATGACCTGACTGTTATTTCTCTAGCTTTTCTTCCCTTCCTTGAATTCTTTGGTTTACTGAATTTAGGCTTCCTCTCATGTAGAGTGCTTTTTCTCTTGTCTTTACACTTCATATTCCATTTCCCTGGTTTCCACTCTCCCCATTCTTTGCCTGGCTAATTCCTATCTCACTTTAGGACTCATTTCAAGTGTAGCTTCTTCAGGAAGCTTTCCTTTACCCTTTTTAAGTTAAGTTAGGTACCACTCTTGTGTATTCTTGTAGCACATAGTAATTACTTCTATCCGTTCTCTAATGAAATTGCTTAATTACTTGTCTATTTTTTCGACTAGACTTTAACTTTGGTAAGAAGGATGGTAGTAGTGCTCTGTAGTAAGACAACTTGTCTTAACTACAGATTGTGGATTCTTAAAAATACAAGCTTTTTATAATAAATTATAAAATATACAGAAAGTACATAGATCATAAATGTACAGCTCAGTGAATTTTCACCAAATGAACACACCAAGGTAACCAACACCCACATCAAGATACAGAATATTACTAGAACTCCACAAGCTATCTCATGCCCTCTTCTAGTCACTAATCCAACTCATAGAGGATATAATTTTAAATGGGAAAAATGTTTAATATATACATTTCTGAACATATTTTATATGTGTCTTTAGACATACAAGGGATATAGTTATTAGAATTTTGATCCTGTAGAAAGAACATACATAATTTATGTTATACAAATAATTTTGCCATACTTTTTGCAGTAGACAAGTTCAAACTCACATAATACTAGTATTCTAAAGTTTACTTGTGGGATGTTTATATTTAGGTAAGTTTTCTTGTTTATAAATTTAATATCATTTTAGAGTGGCAAGAAATCATATAATAAATAAAGTATATTTTATGAAAATGGCCTATTAATTTTGAGCAGTGAATATACTTGGGATAGGTACACTAAACACATAAAGCACTTTCCAAAGAGTATTTGGCCTCTGGGCTTTAATGTGAATTATATTGCTAGCATATTTTGGCAGTGGGGTCATCCAACGGGCAACTGGAGTGTAATTTTACATGTACAGTGAGGAAAGGACTAGCTGTCCTGTCATAGACAGCTGGCTTGCTAAAAATTGGTCCATTTTTACAACTGGCAATAATTTTAGAGTGTACTTTTTCTCAGTTTTGATTTTACTTAAACTTCAAGATTATATAGCTCTTTGAATGTAAAGGTATTCTTTTAAATATTCTTTTTCCTTATATAGGCTTTACTTTTACTGTCTGTTCATCTTAAACCCATTAAATCCAATTAAGTGGAAAGACTATGGATTTTTAAACCTAGATTTCTAACAGTCCTGGATTCAAGTTCCAGCCTTATCACTTTTGAGCTGTCATTTGTGGGCAAGTCACTTAAC